AAAGAACAAGTGGATGAAAAAAAACAATATCAAAGTGGGAGAAGTTAAAGATAAACGTTAGTCGGAACGTTCAAGCTTCAGAACATATCGAAAAATGGGAGCATCTGTGCCCTTGTGGCCGGTTTTCAGCCATCACCAAGTCTGCAAACACTGATTCCTATCGTCTCGATAACCACAGCTAGGTAGTTTATATCTCCCTACAAGGCTCACACCGACAGTCAAGGACTCCACGCACCGGTGTCACATCTTGGTCAGACCATGAACCCTCTTTCGACCTAATTCAACTATCTCCCCTAGCGTGATAGCTCGGTACGCGCAGCACATATCCAAGCCGCCACAATCGCTGAAGGTTCATAACCTTATTGGCTGACTTGCCTTCCAGCCCAGTACCTTTTGTTTAACCTTGACATTGTTTATACGGTGATTCCGTAACATGTGATACAGTTACGAAGACAACTGTGGTCGGAAACATGTAACTTCTTCATACCGTATTATTACGATGACCTTGTCAGCCGGATAACAGGGTCGAGCAGACTCTAGTGCAGTGTGGTCATCTTTTAACAGGTAGTCAGGTATCTCGCCAATCGGCGTCAGATATGACGTAGGTTGGTTAAAGTCCTATAGGCCTTTAGTATCCGAGCTCAGATGTTGTCGCCCATCAACTCATTCAGACACATACAAGTTCGCAAACAAAAAGTGTTTGACACATTCTATCCATTCACTTCCTATCAGTTTTAGACCATTCTAGCATATGAAAGATGAAAAGGGTATGCCGAACATGCTCGGATTTCTCCTCAAGGCACTTGGAAGGTCCTACATTGTGTTGACATTTTCGCATAACAGGATGATGTCGTCTGTGTACTCCAAATTGTCCAGTTGCTCTCTAGGAAGTAACTCAATCCCTGGAAGCACCCAGTGCTATGTCTATGTGTAGGCCTGTAGCGAAGCTTAGGAGGGAAGGCGACCAGTGTCAACCCCGATGAACATCTCTGGTTGTCGTCACTTCAGATGGCTACTCTAAATAAACCCGTACATTACTGTGTGAATTCAAGTAGAGAGCTTTGGGGAGTGCTACATACTTTGCAGTTAGTGACTGAGAAAAGACTTAACAGACCACAGAGTCAAATACCGACTTAAGATCGATAAAAATGACAAGAGTTGATAAAACTAAAGACAAGTTTCCCACTTGATTATTGAAGACATATAGAGGTGCATATAGCTGATTGGTTGATATAAACGAGGCTGTCATTTTGTATGCACATTTCTATCACAAAATGAAATCCATCCAGAAATAAAAGCAGGTGATGAACTATTTGGAGATGCAAGGCACAAGACAGATATTTCCCATTGATTTAATATTTACCGAAGTTAAATATCGAGGGGTGAAGTTAAATCATCTGCATGTTTCAACTCCAGTCAATTCACAATGCAATGCAATCAGTATTCTATTGTCATTAGAAAGACGTTGTTCTTCCAACGACTGCTTCATCTCCTTAGATCATAAATAACCACAATTAATCTTAGAAACATTATAAGAAATGAATATTGTGCCTCAATGAGTACTTCCAATATACCCGAATTTTTAACTCAATGTAACAAACTTCTCGCTTCAGATAATCCTTAGAAGTATGCAACGCCCAAAAAGATATATCTGTTGAAGGCGTCGATATAAATAACTGACAGCGTAAAGACGATATCAAAGGAATTTCAAACTTGCAAAGAAAACTTATAATTTTTATAGCCATTTGTATTTCATATTCCCTGGATAACTGACTGAGAGGTTACTTTGGGCGTAATTAAAAGCGTGACACCCTTCATCAGCTTTAAGTTAGGTACAGAAGGAGTTGATAAGACAAGGAGGGGTGGGGGTGGGGAAATAGATAAGTCAATGAACTACTACTAGCCTAAGCTTTTCGAATACACCTTTATTCACTTTATTATTTAGTGAACAGTAATAAATAAACTGCTGAGTAGTTTAACTTAACCTCTTTCTATAACTTCTTAATGATAGGCGCTAACTAATAAAATCAACAGAATTAGGTAAAAATTATTCAAATATATATTCAGTGATAATTTGAAGCAGAAATACAAAAGAAACAGCTGGATAATAAGATAATCACTACTCGTTCACACTCTTATTTCTACACCATAAATTTGAAGCAGTTATAAAATACTTTGTTGGGTAATGAAGATATGTATTTCATTTTTAGGTCATCCATTGGCTGATATTTCCGTCGTTTATTAGTTTTGATAGCAGAATAAAAACGATAAAGATTTCTCAGGAAGTCTTAGCTAGCCAAAACAGTTTATGCAAGAATATATACGGTAGTTTCTACCCCCCTGCTGTACACTAGACCAAATCCCCGTAGACTGATGTTCTCCAGTCAAGAAGTCAAGTTTTAAGTTTCATACGAAAACATCATGCTGGAATACGGTAATCATTCAAACTATTAAAACGTTTTGTGATGTACGCAGGTATTTAAAGGAGTTGCTTTATTTACACTATAAACTCATCAATTTGTGAGGATAATTTGAAAACCGATGACAACTTCCAAAGTATCATCCTCCTGTAGGAGTGATTACCTTATTATCTTAACTCTTTGCTACTCTTGATGTCTGGTAAAAATGCAATTCGGTTCTACTTAGGATACTTTTGTTTACTTACAGAGACCTTACCTTGTCACCTCCAAATGAGGGATCCAAGTATGAAAATTCTAACTACTGAACGATTATTAGTTATTCACTATCAGACTAATATCTTGGTTTTTTTATCGATGGGAATCTTTTTAACGAATAATCTTTTGTTCATATTCTCAATCAAACATAATACAACATGAAAAACGATTATTTGGCAAAAATACACCAAGTGGAGAAAAAAACTGAATTATTCTATATCACTTATATTGCTAATGATATTTCCAAAATTATTATTTTTTTTTGCCAACACAGGCATACACTTGATTGTGGAACATGACAAGGAACAGATATAATCGCAAATTTGAAAATTTTTTTATTTTTCAAAAGACATATTCCAGTTTGTTGTGTAGTCAATCCTTCATTATGCATATGAATTTATTCAGACGATGAATTGCTCAGAGAAAAACAGGTCGGCTAGATCGATATATCTTTTCCTTCTTTTCTGACACTTCACAAATATAAAAATGACGGATAATAATGATAACAAGTAATAATCCTCTTTGGACAGTCAGAAAACTAAACAGAGAATGAAGAAAAAACCACAATCAACCAAAGTCAGAAAGCCTAGAACAGGTGTTGTGAACACATAATTCAAAGCATACATATGTCACTAATCAGTTTTGTCAAAAAATTCCCCACTCCTTCCAAAAAATTATTGATTTTTTGTAGTGAAATTAAAAAGAGTCAAATGATACGGAAAAAGTAGTGAAGTAATGAACATGTGTTAATACAGAGAGAAAAAAAAAGCTAGGTTTCAAGACAGATCATTAGGTATTGGGGGATTGAAAGCTTTTTTTTCTCATTCGTGCACAATACCCCTAGAATAATGCATAGGAAACAACACAGAACAACTTATATGGGAAATAAACTGAACTAGTGTAATTAACAGTTGAACAGCAAGAAAGGAATATTAAAATATAGCAAAACGAAAATATAAACCTCCCGAAAAGAAAATACAATTTTTCATTAAAAAGAAAATTAAAGTGTAATTTACTCACAGTCGCAAGTATGTTCATATGTATTATCACTGTAACCACCAATTGCACTGAATACTAGCCTGCGTAACCCGGAATTTTATTTAAATACATTTTTTCAGTAGTTATTTTTATCAGCTACTTTAGATACACAAAAATTTCTTTTTTATTAACCGGGTATAGAAACATTTTTATCGACCATCTGTGACAAACAAAACTAATGGGGTTAAATGACAATTGTATTATTCATGAATGAGTGGGTCGGTAGCGATGTTAGTAGTAGTAGTAGTACTAGTAGTACAACCAGTAGTGAAAGAATTACAAAGCATGTTTAGTTTCACAAGAAATGCACCAAGAAAAAGAGAATGCAAGAGCCCGTAGTATACATATACATATACGTATTAACAACCCAAACCTTAAAATATAATGACTATAACTAGAAAATTAATGATAGCATGGATTAAGAAAGCAAGAAATAAGGGAGTTGAGAAAACTGTCAGCAAATGTGTGCCACATATCCACGCCAGGCACATGATGCAAGGACTTGTATAACTTCAAGGCAAACAAAAACAAGATGATTATGAAAGCAAATAGATACTGAATAAAATCTCTAGTAAATCGGAGATATATATATATATATATATATATATATATATATATATATATATATATATATATATATATATATATAACTGAAGTGCATACATAATATCACTAAGTCAGGAAGTAAGAGCACATAAGCGTACGAATACAAAATTACTGAGAACTCTTCTTCTGCGGTTAGGAAAATGCATAAAGAGAGGCTAAAGTGGATAAGTTCGCGCACAGAAAATGATAGTGCAAATAAACATACGAACAACAACTTTTTAATAACGTTAATACCAATATCACTCAGCTCGAGCACTAATGAATAAATTACATACTAGAAGAAATAAACAATTAACTGACTTAGATTACTGTAGATTCTTCAAGGGTGGCGGGATGTATGTAATATATACGCATTTAAATAAAACTTTAGAAGAAAGATTACTCCACCTACTTTCAAAATGAATTCACTGATATCGTGAAACTGAAACATGATAAGGAGAAAAATGCGAAAAAGTATTGATAGCAACGGTAGGGGCTGTAGTGAACCGTGAGGAACAGAAAATAAAACAAAGAAAGGTACGACCAAAGATAAAACGGACACATATTTCTCGTCCGCATGTTGATTGCAACCCTATTTTTGTTCAACTTGTTGTTATTTCTTTGCAAAAACACAAAACAATGATATTGGTAACTGTAAAGATCGAAATTGAATATTTCATACTTAAAGATGAATTGGCTTGATCAGTTCCATATTCGCAAGAAACTATCCCATGATCCTGTGCACACTGCCATGCCATCTTCAGACACACCCAAACAACTGACACGATTATCATGGCCAGCCAATATACCTGAAGTTGAAAAACGACAAATATATGTTCGAGACAGAAATTTTATACAATTCAGGATGAAAAACTTGTTATTTCTACACGTAAACTAGAACCATGTATATACAGCCTGCAGTATATTAGACTGAGATACACTTACTGGGTGAAAAGACAATACCACCAAATTGTCTAGAGTAAATTATCTTTCAGCAAGTCAGTAATGTAAATATTGGAATTCCAACCGTTAGGTTTATCATTATTATTATTAGAACATAAACATGGTATAGCAACGGCACCAAGAAATGCGCCACACAAAATAATATAACAACAGTACAAAGACATAAAGCGGAGGGAAGTGGATAAAAATAAAACACAACAAGAATAGAATGATTAGAAGGGCAGTCCAGTAAGATGCATTAGAAACAAAACATTCATTACCTTTCGGTAGCAGAAGATAGGAGAAAGCTGCATCATGTCTGCCACTGGTTTCGATTCTGAGCCATATCTGATCGCGTCTCAAGTCACTGAGTTGTGTGGTCTCTCGGACCCCACCCAAGAAGTCATGATGCATCAACAAGTGCTAACCCAATACAACTATCTTTCATCCCACGGCACCATGTCATACACTGACCACCCCTCTGCTTCTTCTATCCAGTCCCAGGGTTAGTAAACAATGAACGGTGTGGAGGCCGTTGGGACGACATGTATAACACATTTACAAGCCACCGTAGCCGCTGTTTTCAGAAAGCAACTTAATTGAATGACGATATCCATCATACCCAAACACACGCTGTCGTAGCTCAAAATTACTTACATGGTGTTGCCACTGGATACCAGCAATTCTACGGAGACAATGCTGATCGAACACACAGAGTTGTCACACATCTTCAGCTCTGAGAGGCGAGGTTTCACAGGCGTCGAGCAGAACTGCTGGCACCGAAGCGCTGTAAACCCGACCTTTTAGGATCAGCCTAACGTCGCGACGGCGCCAAAGGTGACGCAGATTGACGTATGCCACTCTGGCTTTCGATATGCGGTTGGAAATCTTATCACATCTTCCCACCAGCACTCACACAACTACCCAGATACGCGAACTTTTCAACTACTTCCAACGGCCCACCAGCAAAGGTGAGTGTAAGCACAGGCTCCTTCCAATCTTGCAAAAGTGCTTTGCACTACAATGGTGCACTGCCACTGAATTAAAGCAAGGTAGATGATAAGTAGTCTTCAGCATCCCTCTGTTTAGCTAAGTATCAAACTTTTATTTCAGATCCCATGTTTTAGTTCCAAGAAATGCAATACACGATAAAGTTTAAATAACGTAGTAATTGCTGGGCAAAGGTTGTACAAAACAGTACCGATACACTACCCACCTACAAATTTACAAGCGTTTCTGGAGCTAATTTAATACATATCAAGAGCTTAAGGTGAAAGGCAAACATAGGATAAACAGACACAACAAAGTATTTTGTAGTGTGATTACTTGCAAGTGTAATATTTCTGTCAAAATTACTATATTATCTGCCTTAGACTAGACATGTGATAAAAGAAACCTAGGAATACACACGAAATTGTAGTGTATGTACCGTATGCATGAATCAGTAACAATTCATGTTCATTTCCATTGTGAGAGTGGGTTGGGCGTGGAAGAACGATAAACATACATATATAGCAGAACTTAAATCGAATCTTCATGCAGCCTATGAGATAATACAAACAAATAATAAGAAATTCTGGCCAATTGGTTCACTAGCAAATCTTATGATAACTGAATTTTAGAAAAAAACAAGTTTCTAGAGTAACTAACACCCATTTTGTCAATGCTTTATCACTTTCAAAAACAGTGGCTACTATGTGCACTTTTATGTTCGCCTTTAACGGTAATACAGTACTGTGATGAATCGAATTGTAGATACAGAAGTACTGTGAAGACATCAATGATGTTAAACCACCGTTTATTGACAGATTATTTGGGATAGGTATCAGACAAACATGAAACTATAGAGCCGCAAAAGAACAGCTGTTCGCCATTGAAACGGTGCATTAACAACATGATGCATCTAAACAACATTCTAATAAGGTGGTGTGACACTTTGAAAGCCTTATTCTCCAAACAGTAAAAGCAAACTACCGCACCATCCATATATGAAAACTCTCCATGAAATCATCTGAATTATATTACAATCTATTAGAAAAAAATTCGTAGCTCAGGACGAGAGTTATAATTATTTGGTGTTCTCCGAGCTTTGATGTTACATTATCAGACTAGATCACTTCAACAGAATTTACTTCTTCATGAAGTAACAATTATAGTTACAATCTAAGTTATTCAATACCATTAATTCTTCTCCGAAATTTTACCATAGTGTAAATCCTTACACATATGTAGCTGTAACCAGTCTTAGTAGTGCGCAAAAAATCTCCTGGGCAGAAAGCCAAGGGAAAAGCATCTTAAGGAATATATTTCAGTCAAGTTGATTGAATGAATAAGCATATTCTCTCTACTGATGTGTGCCTTTCTATTGGCATGACACAACACAAAAAGGATGATTGGGAGGGCCATAATAAGATCATCTGCATTTACTAGTGAAAGATGGAAAACCAATAAAATTAGAAAGTGACACCAAATGAAAAACGGTTAAAGAAATAATGAGTAAAACTATTTACATACCAGCGCGTTCTTGTTTCAGAGTATCCCATATATTACAATTAAAGTCATCATATCCCCCAAGTAATAGCCTTCCACTTTTACTGAACGCAACACTTGTTATTCCACAAATAATATTATCATGACTAAACATTCCAATTTCTTGATCAGCCCTAATATCAAACAGTCGACAAGTAGCATCGTCACTACCAGTAGCGAAAGCCAAACCACTCGGAAAGAAGATAATAGCATTGATATCGGATTCATGCCCAGGGAATGTTTGTTTGCATTGACCATCACGTATATCCCATAGCTTTATTATTTAAATAAGCAAATATATGTAGAAGCAACATGAATAAAGATAACAAATTTTTTTAAACGCAAACATTTCGCCAGTATGCAACAATAAAATTCACACAAAACGCGTAACTATCTTTTATATACAAATTCATTTTATTATATTAACTGATTATCAGTTTAACTAACTGTGATGGCCATAGTTTGGTAGACTTGTATTGATACTGGGCGATGACTGAAGGTGAGATGAAAATTTGGAACGTGGCAGGACTCAAACCAGCGACTATCGAGTTTCAAACCCAAAGCTCTACCAACTGAGCTACGAGACACGACTGCTAGCCACACTTTTATTGCACTTCAATCCCCAAGCGTTATACTCGATTGCCATGTAAGTTCATGACGCGTTACTATCACTAGATTGTACTCACATTGGCTGTCCAATCAGGACTTTTTATCTTAATCCAAATTTACTTGAATTAGAGAAAGTGAGCATCATATTAGTGATTGAAATGAAATAAAAATCTGGATAGCAGTCGAGTCACGTAGCTCAGGTGGTAGAGCACCGGACTGGGACTGGAAGGTCGCCGGTTCGAGTCCTGCAGGAACCCAAATTTCCACTTCACCCTTATTCATCATCCAGTATAATAAGTGAAGTAATTAGTGTGCTCGATTGCTACGGCGTTAAAGAAGGAATCAGCCACGGAAACAAAATAGTCAGACAAATACTGGAACTCTGAAATTTGAAACTTATGATTTCGCTAAAAGGTACTAATTGATTGCAGGTGTTAAAAGTGATGAATTATATCATAAGAACATCAGAGTAATTTCTATGAGATAATTATTGTGACAGATTTCCACAAGTCGAAATCGAACAGAAATGTACTCAGGAACATTGCACACATCAGTGGAGTAGGAGATGAGCCATACCTATTCTGAGGCTTACCGATACTACTTATTATTATTATTATTATTAGTCCCTTGGGTTCCTAGTGGAACATAGGGCTTCAGTAGCACGCCTCCAGTGACCTCTGTTCTCTGAGATCTTTTGAACCTGGTCCCACGACAGCCCACAACCTCTCATTTCCTCCTCGCACGACCTCCTCCATGTCACCCTCACCACGGACACCCAACTCGTCGCTTCCCATGGGGATTCCACTCGAGCAACTGGCCTGACGCGTGATGTCCTCAGTCGGCCTTCTCAGTGCATGGCCAATCCATCTCCACTTCCTGCTGCATATTTGTTGCGTGATAGGTTCTTGGTTGGTTCGTCACTAGCCAGAGTTCCTTGTTGCTTATTCTTTCTGGCCATCTGATCTCCAGTAGCACCGATACTACTTGGCTCTCAAGAATTAGGTAGGCGGACCGGAACTCGAACCCGTAGCCTATTGGTTAGAGGTCGAGAACCTAGACCAGTAAGCTACAACTGCACAGGTTTCCGCAAAGGAAATAACAAGACTGCAGCTAACACTACAAAAATTAGTAACCAAACAAAACATGGAAATATGAACGTAATAGTCTCATAATCTTAAGGGAATACAGAAATCAGAAAAAATATGACCTTTAGTGCAGAAAAAACACAACATTTAGCGAGTTTACTAACGATTTAAGCGACATACAGTTTGTCTTGTCGATTACGTTGCTAAAAATATCACCCGTATGCAACAGTCCGTCAATCGAATGGTTTAACTGCAAACTCTATATTGTTTGGAGGTTTGTTCACTAGACAGCGAGCCAAATCTATTGTATGAGAAGTGGTGATATTACTTGACTCATTAAACCTCGACTAATTGGGCGAGACCTAAGTAAGTGACCACTCGACTGAGAGTTGAATACGCAAGTGAACAAAGTTATAGTTTTTGACTGTTGAGGAGTGTAGTTATGCAAATCAGTCCACTTTATGTAAGGTCCTAACGTTAGTGTTTTCACTTTACTTTACCTGACTAAACAAAACGCGTACAATGATAAAACACAGAACCTTCAAAGTCCTTATCAGTAACCAGTTACTTGTGACTAGGTCAAATTATTCCTACGAGCGAAGAAATAGCATGATTGATAACTTCAAGTGACTGTCAGTTTAATGAATAATCAAAATCTAGTTGCAAGGTAAAACATCGATGCAATGTTTGAATGAGTTAATAACGCATTGTAATTTTGAAACGTGATAAAACACTTTTTTACATAAAATATACTAGGGAAGTGAATATATAAAAACAAAACACCAGGGAAAATTTAGAAGCTTTGGACGCAGGTCAATCAGAAATCAGTAAAAGCATTAACAACGGCAACTGGAGAGAAGAGGGGGATACAAAAGTACACATTTAGCGACCACCTTATCAAAATAATATTTGAATGAGTGTGTATAAGTAGTGAAAAACAATAATGCAGGATAATTTACTACAGCCAGATCGTCAAGATCATCTGCTAGCTGTATACGTATAAGTTGGGGTCGCTTATTTTCCTCGAAGTTTGTGCTAATGTTGTCCGGCAAAACATTGAAAGCATTAGCTGTAAACTACTCAACCAACAGTAGGCAAAATGACCGTAAGTAATTTGTCAATGAAGTCAACTACCTCTCAATAATTAGTAATTACTTTAAAATCACCAAGTAAGATCACCACAACTGAGATCTACTCATACTAACTGAAGTTGTGTTGGGAAAATAAGAATCGATACTTCATCGTTATGTTTAGGCAAAGTGAAGTACATCTGCATTATTTGTTACTTAACAGTGTCAAAAATGATCAGTAAGAAGCAAACTACAGTATATATTTTCACACAGTATACAAATTAACGTAGAACCTAGTACAGTGAATCAATTCAAACTGCCACAATTCACAGTAGAAGGAGAAGAACAAGTGACATCAAATTAAACAACAGGAGTAAAGGGAGAGACCAAAAAAAATTATTTGGTAGAAATGCTCGAGATTTAAAGAATGTCAAAGAATAAATACATTTGCAAAAATTGTAACGGATTTTCAGCTGTCATCAAGGGTTTCAGACCACTGATTACCATTGTCTCGAGGATCCCAATCAGGCAGCCTAAATCTTGATATATGGCTCTGACCAATGGTCAGAAACCTGGTCAACTGGTGTTATGTCTTGATTTAGTCAGTCTGAACCTTCTTCCAGCTCAATTCTACTGCGGCTAACATTGCACATCGAGATAAGCGCACCTAGACATCTAGAACACATACCAACGCCATGTCAGCCAATGTAGGTCAAAAGGCTTTGATCTCTTCACTTATGCTTTACTCAGCATCCATGTCTAACAGCCACATGATGGGACACAGAGAACTACAGAGTAGCATACTGCTTGAATAGTGCCAAAGAAGGCGCAAGTTGGCAAATGTGAAGCCGAGCTCCTGTATCTGGGCTGAGATATTGCTGGCGACCAACCCACTGAAGCTGAAGAACCTTCTCAATTAAGAGTAGTAGTCAACGCTTTTGACCACTTTACTGTCGATCCTTAAATTAGGAGTAGCTTTAGACCCTTCCATTAGCACCATCTCATATTTCAGAGATGTGAAACGCATGCCAAACGCACTGAAATTTCTGCACATTTTAGTAGACTATACTTTGTCAGCGTCTTCAAATAACATGACAACATTGGCTCCGTAATCCAAATCAGTCGGACAATCTCCTCGAAGTAGGTCAGTCCCCGTTAATTCGAAAAATACCTAAGGTTATGGCCATTGTTACATCATCATCTGGAAAGACAAGGAGCAAGTACATAAAATTTTATGCACGTACTACAAAATATAAAAACTCTACAACATCGTATTTAGCTCATCCGTTGTACGATGAAGAAAGCATTAGAAATGAACTAGCTAACCATCTTCTGTTTTTGAAAGTAAACTAATTGATGATGAGCATGTTGCTATTTATGTATTATGAACCTAATTACTAGTGTGATTGTCTACCTAAATTGTGTATTTTCAACAAAGTTGTAGATAGAGCGAATATTCTTATCTTTTTTATGTGATTTATGCTTATTTCACTTTGTTATGTATGCACGTACATTGTTTCTGTTCAATCGATGCTATATGACATGCTGAAAATTCTGTAGAGTATTCCCGAAATAGCTTTAAGAACAAAGCCATTATTATTATCACTAATGAATGATTGGAGTCCAAGTAGGTACTCCAGATACAATGACAATCTTTTAACGACCCCCTCGATTCACTGCTGATAGCGGTATGATCCATCCGTATTCATCGTTGGTTTGATTTCGAAGGACGCAAAATGAGAGTGTCTTTCTGTCCTTGTGTTTGAAGTTAGTACTGTCCAGAAACAGATAGTTGTCAGACAGGAACCAGATCTGAAAGTTTTGCTCTAAGCCGTAAGACTGATAGCATTCGATAAAATTCATACTTTGCACCCTGCGAACTCTACTCAGAGGAAGCGTAGATAGAGAATGAAAATATACATTAACGAGTATTCCGGTAATTCGCAGTTCGTACAAATCCGCTCAATCTGACAGTGCATAATAGGCTGTCGACGTGTTCAGATGGAAAGTATACCATCGATTCTACGACTCAATGAAACATCTACACAGTCGAGTCCACGACAGCTAGCCATTACATCCCTACATACTCACCTACTCCATTTTAAAGACTCACAACATTATTCAGGTGAGGTAAAGTTAATAACCACAATAGGGTTTTATTTGCATGTCACAGAAACACAGAATACATACATCACTTGAGAATACAGAATTCAGGCAAGAGACGACTGCTGTCAGATTTGGACATTAAAAGCTCTGTTATGGAATCCACAGCTGAGTCTTAAGAGATTAGAAATGGTGTTTCACTAGCTTGGATCGCTAAAACTGGCTGTAAGGTGAGCGGTTGAAGAAGTTGTAAGGTATTTATTATTGGGATCAGGAAGTGAAGGTAATGGAGGACAAAAAGGTAAGGTGAATAGGTTATACTTGATTCGGTTTTGTATATTAATGTAAATGTGCAAAGGAATGGGATACCATGGAAGTTATTTTCGTAGGGTACCTGAGTTAGAAAAATCAAAAGATCTGGGTGACAGTAGAGTGGATGAGACGTCTGCTTCAAGCCAGTCACACACGAATCTATTCAAAATTTTGGATTTATCTGTGACTGACTTAAATTCAGTCAGAAGACCCATAAAATTGGCACTGAAAGACATCAGGGCACGAATTTGTGTGCTAGTTCCTCGGTCGAACTTTCCTAGTCCTCCTCCGTTCCCGTAGGAACAGCAGCAACATTATAGACTGCTGGTCATCTGTGGGAAACACCTATCTGCTGTCACATCCTGTCCAGCCAGCAACACAACTATGCCCTCGGATCCCCGTCACGGAATAGCTATTTACACTATGACGGTAACTGAGTTTTCTTTTACCACTATCCGACATGCCTTTCTGGTATGGGAACTTCAAAGAACAAATAATTCCTTACCATTATAGTTCTTTGGGTCCTTGTGATATGAAGAGCCGATCACTACGTCAAGTTAGCAGCTGTCGGTAGGTGATCTATATTTTCACACTACAGAAAGTAACTCACGTAAAGATGTCGACAACTTTCCCACTTTCATTAATTTAAACGCAAAATTGTGAAGTTAAATTCTTGGATAGTAAGAAAAATTTGTTTGTGTGCAATGTTATGTGATTTATTTTTAGCTAAGTAGCACAGTCTTGTTCACTTCATTGTGAATCACGCCAATCCGTAATATCCCATAGATGACATACGAAGTGGCGTATAAAAATAAGGGAATAAATAAATCATAAAAGTCCCCGATATTTACTTAGACTGGTGCACTGTGAGCATCCGTCAAATGCATCATTCCTTTACTAGGCAAAATTTAGTGTGAAGTTATTTTACTATTATTTCCCTGGGAGAAGGGCCATCGAGCGTGAGATACAATTTCCTACAAATATACGTACTGTAAGATACAGGCTGTGTTGACCGAGCCAAAATACAGGCATTTGTACAGACATGCATATAATCGACTTCAATAGACATGCAATTATAGACACACTGAAATCAACCTAGTTATAAAATATTTTAGACCAAGGGTAGGGAAGAGAGAGAGGGCAGGCAACAGAGTGGTCAGGACATAGACCATAACAATCAATAAAAAAAGAAGAGATCGAAATATAATCAGTCACTGACCTGCACAGGCTTTTATCTCCCAAAACATTATCACGGCTTCTTTATCGATTAAATATCAGCAAGCCGTGAGCAATTAGCTGATTGTAGGAGTAGAGCATGGAAAAGATAAATTTATACATTTGTGTATATGGCACGTGTCCACATATATCTCTTTTTTATTTCTGCGTTGAAACTTTCGAAATTCGAGCTGGTGAATGACCGTGTACGCCCAAAAACTAGTACATAGGTTCTAAAAGGGAACTGCTACTATTCACTATGGTAACAGAGTTTGGTTCAGTAGGTGGAAAGAGGAGCAACAGAAATATCAGCATGCATGCAACTTTTAGCTTTTTTGTTGCGTTTTTTTTATACCGTAGACAAGGATAAAATATTCAGGGCGTATACTCAACCCTATGAAAAAAGTTTACGTTATCAACAAAGAAACAAAATCTGAACGAAAAGCATAATTCTACAAACAAAAATGTGAATAAATTAACAGCCCTTATGTGGCAATACTATGAGGAACTAACCTTTGCAGATGCATCACAAGCACCTGAAACAAAAGTCCGCAGATCAGGAGCTACACTAAGACTCATAACGTCACCTGTATGACCTGTAAACGTAGCGACTTGTTGACCAGTTTCAATGTCCCACAGTCCACTGGAAAATATATACATCAATGATAAAGTCATAAAATAATAATTTTGGAAATAAAACGTAATAAATTAATATAAACAGTTCAATGAGGATATACAATCACATGTAAATAGAAATGCCAGAAAACTCGTAACTCAGATGGGTGTTATGCTTGTATTCTCTCTTTTAATTATGCAGCGCAAACGATTTCCAGTAATAATAAAGAAAACTTCCAGAAGAAACTGTCTGATGCAGATGAAGCAAGATATTCAAAAGGTGCCGTAAATACTAATTATGTGGATTCAGCTTGAAACAACCTTAAGGTGAACAAAATCTAAAGAGTAAAATATGAGGATCTGGATCACAGAACTCTGAACTAACATGTTAAGAACTCCAGCGATGCAGACCTACACATAAGCTGAAAAATAAAACTCATTCTAACCATAGTTCCGTGTCCTACCTCAGAAAACCAAAGTGCACAATTAAAATAATCCCCTCACGTTAACAACAGAAAAAAAGCTGACTCAACCTGAGCTTGGAAACGAAAAACGACGAAGTTTCGTTAATTCCATGCACCAACCACTGCGTTGAAAACTGACAAAACTAGCAATGGAACATAGAACTAAACTGCATTTATACATCACATGTAGAAAAAAAACTGACCTTTATAATGGTTACTAGCATATAAGTGTGATTCGGATTTAGATGAATAAATGAAAGCCCAACTTCAGAATAGCCAGCAAGAATCATACCTAACGTGCCTTCGCTTGACAGCTACTCAAGACATCAATGTAGTCAAAAGAATCATTCCATTTATTACGGTATCCAAGATGGGTATATGTAGATCCATCATAAAGTATCAGCTAACATTTTAGAGATATAAAACGCTTATCAGAAATTTGGAGGCTTGAGGTTAATGTTTTGAAGGCTATGTTTCTTCAACCTTCCACTGAGATTATGGTGTATTAGTGCTCAAATGACCAATCACATAATCGTTTGGTAAGATATTAAGTCCTGAGGTTAAAAACAGAAAGGATTACTTCGAGATGCAAGTACACAAAAAGGCGGAATAAGGATGGGAAAGGGTAGATAGCCCTGGAAGACATCTTTGAAAATCATTCTGCACAGACCAAAATAGTTATACATATGTAGGCAAAAAAGGAGGTAACTTTAAGATTGATAAAACATAAGAGGTACAAGAGTAAATTGGTCGGGGATGTTTCAATTCGCAAGCAGTATGATGAGTGAAAATTGGTAGAGGAGAAACGCTAAAAGGAAATAGGATGGTAATAAAAATAGCAAAGAACGAAGGAAAAGATAGCAAATGGAGTTAAATAGCTACCTCTCAGATCCATTCGAAGAAAAGACGATCAAAAATTTTTACTGACTGGATTAGATCCGAAGTTCTGAAATGGTAGTATGGCTAATGTAGATGGCTAGATAGATACTAGATCCATGTCCCCAAATCTAGTGAACGATTAAAATCCGAATTCACCTGTTAAAATAAATCATGCTTTACAGAACAGGATCTCGGTGGCATAGATAAGATTTGTGAATTACAGGGCCGAATAGTATACAGGAGACTGTTAACTGTGATTTCTGCCCTAGGACTTAGTGGTATTCTTACGCCTGCAAAAATGCGAGAATTTCCAGAAACTTGAAGTGGATTCGGGAAATTCACTATATCCCCCAGGTGAGGTTAGATGAACAACCATACTGGAGTCACGTATATATCTCTCACAAACACAGCGCATTTCCATGATCTAAGATACAAGCTTGAGCTAGCTAAGTCTGTAGTCCTGTTCGATAAAAGTTGAGGATATTGGAAGTTCTAATATGCAGTACAGAGTAAGATTTCAGAAAAACAGCAGTTTTATTTCATGAAATCGATTTGTTATTCAGGACTGCAGAGCTGCAAGAAATTAAAGATGGCACAAGGATATTGACCGGGAGACGGCAGGAAAAGGTAGAAGACGGAGATGTAGAAAGTTGATAATGATCTGAGGACGTTTGATACTTCCTAGTAGCCCGAACCATAGAAGGTTACTTCCACAGGTGCTGATAACAGTTTACCAATAGCTAGAAGAAACGAAGTGTTGCTACTTTGGGCTAGCATTAGTGACTAAATCACGACCTTTTGGATGAGGTCCAAAAGAAAATACAACTCATCGGCTTAAGACTAAAACATAGATACTTTAGAATGAGAATGGGTGACATTTTTGATAATGATTTGCTTATATTCACGAAACACTGGTCTTGTTTAAATATGTTGTTCGACTTACACACTGGATAGTAGGCTAATTTATACGCTATCATTTGGTGCTGTTTTTAAGTAGACAGGCGACTTCAAAGAAATGAACTTAGTGAAAATGAATGAGGCCGCTGAATTCAAAATCGAGCAAGTGAAGCCAGATTTGTTCACATTAGCGAATTTATACAATCGAATAAATAAGAAAATACATAGTTTCTAAATAAGGTAAATGGATTTACGCATTACACAACTTTAACTGCAAATGATTACTAATATGTAGCGTGAAAGTAGCGTAGTAAACAGTTATTTTACAAGATGGGATGAGCTTTTACCAAAATATATGCTAAAAGATAGACAGATGAAGCGAAATTTCAACTTATTTGCAGTGAAAAATATGGATTCAAATAGGTGGAGGGGTATTCATCAGCTATCACCAAGTGTACTCCTGTTGGGACACTCGACTGTCATATGAAGGAAAAATTAGCTGTACAGCAGTGCACCAAGCTCTACTATTCACTGGCGCGATACGACCAGAGAAGCTGGACAGCATAAACAAATTCTATGTATTTTAATCATCGACAATAAAGCATTTCACTGCTGTCATAAAACTATTAAGTTATGCTACAACCAGATAAGGAAGTCAAGTTTGGGAATGTGTGGCGATCAGAATCGGCAAGAAGTGTGGAGTAACTGCCAATCTCAATCCGACTCGCCGACTGAAAAAATCAACGCAGAACTTCACACACAAGTGCAACACTTCAAGTTGTCAAACTTGACAGTTGTATACGAAGAAAAAGTGGATAGAAAAAAAAAGGGTAGATAAAGTTGTACCAGGGAATAAACAATTTGAGGATAAAGGTTAGTGCAAATATTCAAGCTTTAGAAGATGTCAAGGAGTGGATAAATATGAGCTACTGTGACCGGTTTTCAGCCATGTCACCAAGACTTCTCAACCAACCAGGTACACTACATCACCCCACCCAGCTCAGACCAACAGTAAAAGACTTCATCGACTGGTGTCAGGTGTGGTCTGACCACACTGAACCCTCTTCCAACCTAACCCAACTTCCCCCAACGTGGGACGTCGACGTAGGCAGTGGTTCGGCATGCGTAGTACATGTCCAAGTCATCTCAGTTGACTGAAGTTTACAACCTCATCAATCGGCTTTCCTGTCTTGCCTAACATCTTTCGCCTGACCTCAACATTGATCACACAGTGGTTTCCTCACATGCAAAATGCTACGAAGACACATGTGATCAAAACCCTATAACCGCTTCATGTAGTCTGCTTTTAACGACCATGTTTCACAGCTTTACAATCAGATAGAACTGAATGCATTAAAATATACCCGTCCTTTGATAGATAATCGAATGACTCACCGGAGCGATAAGTGACGCAAGTTGGCAAATGCCAAACGGGCCTTCTATATCCTAGCTGAGATTTCGTCAGCAACCAACCCGTCCGAACTGATGCAACTCCCTAAGTAACTAAAGTGGTCGACACACTCCACCACTTCGCTCCCTATCTTTTGACTAGGAGTGGTTGCAGACCAGTCATGGGGTATCATCTTACACTTTACAGGTGCGAAACATGCCAAACATACTTCGATTTCTGCTCAACGCCTTCACAAGACCCTACGTTTTGTCAGTGTCTTCACCTAGCAGGACAATGTCGTTTGCATACTCCAAGTCAACCAGATGACCTCCAGAGACTGAAGTCAGACGTACCTAATGTTATTTTCAGTAGTACGTCAATAACAAAGACGGGAACGGTGACAGTGAGCATCCCTGCCGAACACCACCAGTTGTCGTCAATTCTGAAGACAACTCTCCATAACCCCTTACACGGCTGTATGAGTTCGATTAGAGAGCTTTGATTATCGTTACTTATTTGCTCGATACTCCTTTCACAGTCAGACTCTGTCATAACACCTCACAATCGAGAGTCGAATGCTGTCTTCAGGTCAATAAATATGGCAAGCGTGGGGCACTGGCAGGTAGATATACCTGTGTTTCAGAAGCTGCAGTAGGGTGTAAATATGATCGATGTAGCCTCATCCAGGTCTGAAACCTGCCTGATTTTCTTGAGTTTTCTGTTCGCGAGCTCCAGTCACGGGATGTGTTATTAGTTGTAAAATTAGGGTGAAGCAAGTTCCTGAGTTTGTCAGACTATAGCATTGTAGCTGTTTACTCCGTTACTGAGAGTTAGTATCAGCATAGTAGCGGAATATAAACTTAGTTATTCGCAAGTGCAGAGAAGACTGGTGCTCACAGCTTAGGAAGTGAGATGGTTGGATAAACACAGGAGTGATGCAGATGAACAAAATCTTTGCCGTAACGGACTTTTATCGGTTTAGCCGTCCCTCATCACAGTTCACATAAAATTTACTTTAACTTTACTTTACTTTAACTTTATCCGTTCTGCCAGTTTCTATACAATCCGATCTTAGTTATTTTTATCTTTTATCGATAGCTTGAAAACTTTCTCCTTGTTCATCTCTGACTTCTGTGTGCTGCTGTACTCAAATTCTATAAATTTAGACAGGTGAGCTGAGAATCACAGGGTCTTTAGGGTATCTTGAGCAGGAAAATTGAAACATGCGTTTAGCATCAGTAAACTGAAAGACGGCGATTCAGAATCGGTCTACATCGAGAAATGGTTTAGAAAAAGAGAAAGAAACGGTCAAATTCGTCGACTATTTCACGAATTCAAGAAGCTGCACTAGCCTTAATCAACTGGTTGTTAATGTGACTTCATCCCATATATGAGGTTAAGCACTTCTTAATTACCTGTAGGTGCTAGTGAGATATCTAATTAAGCAAGTTTACTCAGCAGAATTAAATTCCTTTTCGGCCTACAATTTGAGACATAGCGATCAGAGGAAGGAGATATGAAAATGTTACAAAAATACGATCGACATTTTTTAAAAAGTAATAATATTTTGTGATAGAACCTCTGTATCAGAAGTGTTCGGGTTAACTGCGTAGTTCTGAACAATAAAGATAAGTTAGTCCAAAACGTTACGTTTGTGAAATACATGAAATGACTGGGTTGTGTTGTATATTTTCCACCACCAGTTACTCAAATACGCAATGCTGGCTAGAGTAGCAGTATATTTTAAAGGAAAGCCAAGTCTGATCAAGTTAAGGCAAGGTACCAATCAATGATGTCACAGGCTATGGGTTCGTGCTGTGTCAGAAAAATTACAAATTAAAGTCCTCTGAAAAGTCACAGGATACGAAATACGTACATAAACTACTTAGATAAAAGTGGCAGTAGTATTTAAATGATTTAATATGACAAAACAAACAATACATAAATATTATATGAATATAACATACCAGGTGACATCACCAGAACTCGTCACAATCTGACTATCATCGAGAAAACGACAACAAGACAGATATCCCGTATGTCCTGGTAGTTCACGGCTAACACGTACATTTCCTTCGCGTGTTTTTAGGTTGTAAATAGAACAAATATTATCCAAACCACCGCATGCAACATAATTACCGGAAGGTGCATACGCACATGTCATGACCCAACTACTTCTTAGAGGAATGGCGTGAACCTACAAGAAAAATTGGTAAATAAATAATACTTTAAAATCATAAAAATGAGATAAAAATGTTTCGGAAATCGGACAAATAATCAACTAGAATCAAACATAGCAAACTAACAGTGAGTATAAAATTGCTTTCTTAGGCAATCAAACTACTTGATAGGTACTTACAAGGTTATGTAACGACGACCTGATCAAATAATTAAAAAAGTGTAAGCAGTCAATACAAATAATAGGTTTGACAAATAAACTCAATGATAGCAAAATAGATGTAGTACTAAGCATAGTTTTTAAGACGCTTACAATAGATCTGTTGTGTACACAAACAAATCCTTCAAATGTTTACGTTGCATAATGATACAGCTAAAACAAGGGGAAGACGATAACAAAACACAACAACGGCTAGGTGTATTCAAGTATGCGAATATGAGATTTAGGTTGGTATTCATCATGGACTGACATCAGTTGGATAGACACTGGAAACCTGGGAGCACAGGACAACCCTTTCGTCCTAGCATGGGACGCCTCAGCAACCAGCCTGAAATCAATAAAATCCTCACAAGCCACCAAATTGAATACCAAATTAATCAGTATACTGTATAGTCTACGACACTGCATAGCATATTTACAATGAATAATATTAATTAAATTCATCCTGCACCTTATTAGTAGTATATCCATCCCATACTATGAGTTTGCCATCTTGTGAAGCTGATACAAGATTACGAGAATCAGTACTCCAATGCATAGCATAAATTTTAGCCAAGTGTCCACGTAAAGTACGGCGAGTGCGTAACTGGATTCTACCTACAGGTTCCACGTTGGAGGATGCCTGAAGTAATGTAGTATCAGCTGCAGCTTTTCGTGCCTCCTGAAATATAACAAAAATATGCTCAATAGTAATCTTTTAACTAGTAAGTGATAATCACAAGTAAAAGTAAATAAGCACCTATTCGATGAAAATCTACAACTGACATATACTAATCGTTAAAGAGCACCAAAGTCATTATTCAGATAAAACACAGAAGAATACAAAAGTTCTCACCTTTCGTAATGTCTTAATAAAATGAATGACAACAAAGAGGAAGTAGATTTTCACGCAGAACGTTTCAATTTATACCTAATATACATCAGCTAAGATAGTATTAACCGAATGAAAAGAACACCAAACTATAAGAAAACAGAAAAACCTTATAAAGCGAAGAAGCCTTCAGGTTTCGGTTATACCTATTAGCTTTTGCAACTAAACGACATCTTACTTATGTGTTTAGTACTATTTGAAATGATAGCAGAAGATTGAAGTCGGGTTTATACAACGCATTTTATGACCTTTTTATTTCTATATCCCGTTGACTGAGAAAGTGTAAACCTGATATATTCATGCATCAATGTGACTTCATGCGTCTTTTGATACCACAAAGAAGAAAACGTTAAGTTAATAAAATAAACCAACTAGAACAATAACCAAATTTTGAGAGATGCATGTATAAAATACTGTAACCTAGCAAGCATTTGGATTTCCTCAAACTAATTCACCAGTTACACCTTTTTTCGAAAACTCATGATACCAGGCTACCTGTAGAAACCTAAGTGGATAAAAAATACTTCAAACCCATGACCCACTGTTAGAAAGTCAACTCTCTAAACCAATGGGCCATAGCTCCAAAATGGTTACCAGTAGGATTGATTTTAAGAAATGTCATCAAAATTCTACTGTTATTGATTTCGGTGGTTTTGCTCCGATTCCAAATACAACGACTAAATTCGTCGTTTGGTGTCACCCTATAAACATATCAGGCAGAAATATCTGGTTGAAGCGAATCGCTATTTAGTCTGCGCAGCTAATTTTCTAATCCTCTTTATATAAACCGTCAGTTGACCCTCCCTTAATGTAGATCATTTTTAGACATAGTTTACTGAACACTATTGATGATAGACACTTAAACTATTCTTTTTATTCGTAGTAAGTTAACTGAGAATAATAGCGAAACAATAGCCTTTGAGCTCAAGCTGTCCATTGATTATTCTTCTTTGAAATAAGTTGATCAGATCGTCTACACTCTCTAGTCTTGCTGAATGGAGTATTCATTGGACATTGTGATCCATTCAAACGTATTTCTACTATGTTAGGTGGTATGATAAGTATTGTATCAAGATCGGCTTCATACACAGCAACCAGCAACGGTATGTGGACAAACAAGCAATATCTCTAAATCTCTTCGTCATGAGTTATAAGGTTCTCAGGAAACGTAGATGATTGACCAGGGTATTCAACATTCAAAAAAGGCTCACCGGTTAGAAAAGTCTTCCAACTACTTTAATCTGGGTAGTCGGAAAACAGCGTGAGCCATAAAATAAAAAACAGTTCATAGACTAGTTAATGAGTATGTACCTAGTTGACTTTAGTTACATTTCGTTGATGAAAATCGAAGATCAGATGGGCTACGCACATTTAATGTTAAGAGTAAGAAGTGGTAGTGCCAAGTTTACCTAAGCAAAAAACAGTTTAATCACTGAACTCTCTAAAAATGAAAATGAACTTTCAAATATCAAACAAGGATATGAAACTTTTCTCCCCGGAATCTGATAAGTCGTTAAAACCTTCCAAAATGATCAGACAACAAAACCAGTTTTCGTATGTATGTATGTGGCTACTGACTAACTGACAAAATCAACGTAGAACCTTGCATACAGGTGGTCATACTCATCAGTAAAAAAATGTATTTGGATATATTAAACTGAGAGAGTTAACGAACGTCCGCTTATGATGTAGAGAATGGATGTAAAAATGATACTTGTTCCCAGTTGTAAAGACTGTAATGTTGATCAAAAGTTCTGTTTCCATTCTAGAATAATAAGCCATGTTGATACATAATTTCCCAGTTACCAAGATAGTAGATGACTTGCAATCCAAAACACATCGATTAAAAAATGTTAGTAGTCGAGACCATACAACAAAACTAACCACGTTAGGAGACAAAAATTACAGTTGATACATTTTACAAATACAGTGCCAATAGCAGCAGTTTTGATGAAACTGTAAAATATTTTTATAGGCGTAAAGGGAAAGTAAGAACTATTCCTAAGCTTAGAAGAAGCGTTTTTGGAAATTTTTATTACATGAACTGTTTGGTGAAGAAAGTTTAAGCTACATATAGTCGTCCCCGGAACATCGAGCTGGGGGTTGAATGAGCTGAAGAGTAAAAAATAGATCTGGACAGTCTTCAAAAGGGATGGATGTAACTAAAACTAATCGGCCACATGCGGATTTGAGTACTATAGTATGTGGGTTGGCTATACGACCTAGTTGCTCAAACGTCAGAAGCCGTAATATATCACAGAGGTAACAGTTAGCGTAAATATGCATATATCACAAGTAATAAGGGAGGGACTAAAAATAACTTTACAAAACTAAGTAACTCCTACGATAAACAATACACCGTAATGAAGGTCAAACAGACACCAACCAAAAATTAGGTTAAATAATATCTCAAATTACAAATGTACAGCAATTTTCGCGAGAAATGTGAACAAAACTCACTTCACATGACCTTGTGTCCCGAATGGTAGAAAACAGGCTTAAATTAACAAACATCAAACTATTCACTATTTCTATGTATTATAAGGTTGATAAATTCTCAATAAGTCTGTTGAGCACATTTATTGAAAGAATGAATTTAAATGCATATCAAGAAATAAAGCCATGAAATATATAACAAGATAATAGTGGCCTTTTCGATCATACTTTTGCAAACTACTGAGTAGTCTAGATAGCTAGTCGTAAATTTTATATTTAAACATTTACCGATAGATGTTGCTTGTATTATCCCGTCGTTGATTGGACCGAACTGATCAGTCTGTTAGCACGTGGGCTCCATCATTACCACAAAATTGAAACTACAGACAACATCCAGGTATCTGCCCTTGAGCCCATATGCCAACAGAGACCGGTCAATTCGGCCCAATCAATGACGGTATAATATAGGCAACAACATAAAACTATACTCGTTGCATACGTGGCTATTGTGACCCAGTAGCCTAGTGGATAACGCTTGGCGTTTGAAGCAATCGGACACGGGTTCGAGTCCTGGTGAAAACATCGCTCACTGGGTAGCAGGTACATCCGGCCAATGAGTCTCAAACAAGACTAAACACGCGTCCTGGATTCCACTGCTAGCCACTACCATCATTATTATTTACTGATAGAGTTTAATCATAAAATTTGATTAAGACTCCTATATCACTCTTCAAACGAAAGTAAAGTGACAACAAAGCAGTACGCAGAAGCTAAATACATGTTAGTAACAGAGAGATTAGCAAACAAAGGCTTAGTAATAAATCAGAAACATTAGTCAAAGGACAAATAGATATGGTGAAATGATAATGCAGTATTCAAGATTTGGAGGAAAGGAGTTACTGAGTGCATATAGGTGATTGTGAGTAACAGAAAGACAATTACAACTACCTAAGAAGCAGAATGAATATAAACCTTATCAGTTATACAACTATTTAAATAAAACACTGTAATTACTCAAATTCTTAACTTATATTACTAAAAAACTCACCCTGATCATATTTTTGAGCTGTTCACTTTCTTGTCTTAGTTGATCTAATTCACTCATTTTTGATGAAACACTGAAAGGAAAATAAAGATAAATCATAATCAGATTATTAAACAACAGAACAGTATACTCAAAACAACTAGCAATTATTGCCATTAAAATAAATGTCTCAGTAACCATTTGTAGACGACAAATAAAAATGACGATCACTCTAGACCTGAACGGGATTTTATTTACTCGAAGCAACGAAAAAGCATTAAGAAAAACCTTGGTGTTCCTGACTATCGATTCAAGATAGGCAGGAAAGTATCGAATAAGGTGGGGGAAATAGCTGTGGATGATTAAAAAAAAATTTCGACTTTAAATGCCCAACAACATACCTAAGAACAGTTCACATCGCCATAATTACATTCATTCGACCTCTTCTTAAAATGTCAGCTACTCGCATCTATCGTTCTGCTTACCTTGTTTATTATTTCAGAATTTATCATATCTAGTGGTTTAAATTTAGTATCTACCAATTTCTATCATCCATGGTCATTAACAAGAAATCTGTCCACATTTATGAGTGGGATAACATAAGATCATGGCCCGCCAACAGAGCTTCGAGAAGTGAGCCACTAGTCAATACCGAACCACAATTCAGTTAGTGACTTATTATAACCGAAAAATAATGAAAGAGGAAATGAAATCAAGGCACCTATGAGATAGATATTAAGATGGGACCTGGAAGAAGTGTGAAATGATCCACGTTACCGCACTGTAAATCAGCACATTAAGCCTGAATGCATCAAGGTGAACGATAAAGAAATGAGGAATAAAGCAGTCAAAAGCAGTAGAGTCGTAAAAAGGAACCAAGACAATATTGAAATTCAGTATGATGATTATGACGAAGATAATGCATAGATAATCTGCATCATTGACACGTATCATCAACCATACTACTCAGTCTCCAACAACTAATTTCTGTTGTAACGCGGACCCCAAACAAGAAGTCTACATTTCCCTACACGGGTTGGACCAACAGTGAGACTTCAGAACAGATGCCAGTTTTTAGTCTAGCTGCCCTTAACCACCTTCCATCCTAAACCTACTACAGCTAACACTGTGGAGTTATTATATTGCTATAATGAATGCATCAAAACAGGAATTTTAACAAGAAAGTTTAATTCAACTACCAGAGCTAAAAATCTCATAGAAGGATAGTCGGATACAAATAACCTCAAACATTCCTCATCTTGGTTGATGAGATTTCATTAAATAAAATGAGACTGCCATAAGCAAAATAATGTAACTCCCAGTTTTAAAGAAAGATACAACATACTAATATCGCAAATGAGGAGGGTGTTGATGATCTTTACAGGCCAGTCTAGTATGAAGGACTCATTCCCTTTCACAAGAAACGTTCAACGACTGTTAATGCATCCCTAACTGATATGACATTCAGGATACGACAAACCTTGCAGTTTGACAATTAGAAAAGGTGGGTAGTGACATATCGCAATTTTAAAGTGGAATAAATGAATTCTTAATGCCCTTCGTGTTAACATACATGGTTGAAAAATTGGTTCCCACCACAAAACTTTCACACACTAGGGTTACATTAATGGTTAAATTATAAAACAAGAGGCGGATTGAAAAATCTGTCTTATATAGATTTCTGTGAAATACTAACAAAAGTCAGATCCTATCCCGAGAGGGCTATGAAGCACTAGTCGCAAAAACAAATTCCGTTGCCTAACTTTACCTGGAGACGAATGGATTTTGACACAGGTTTTCGAACCCAACGTACGAATCCATATAGAAGACAGGAACGTATCATTCTGAAGGTGGGATGGCACTAGATATAATGGTTACCTACAAATTGCTGATGGTATAACACAACAAATTATAGTATCGTGTAACAGACAATAAGTTATATTACATGAGGCCGTTGAAGCCACCTAACAGAACCTTGGTAGATGAAGTAGGATTTAAATCTGATTCGGATAAGTGGCCCCCGGTACAGCAGCATGTAACAGAGATCAAGAGTAGTAAGTAGTTCTTCGAAGCAAAACAGTGCATACTGCTATTTTGGTCAGTTACTAAAGAAAATGAGTGTATCGAAGCGGTTAATTAGTTGGTAAGCAACCTGAAAATCAGGTCACCTATTGGAATGTGACTGTACTAGTAGAACCACGTGCACAAAGCCTTATTGTGATGACATTGTTAAAGACAGTATGCAAAACCGATGTCGGATCTCAGAATATAAGTCCAATGTACGAAAATCTCCAAAGTGAAAAATCTACCCTTACATTTTTTCTTAACCCCCCCCTTTAACTCCATCCATCCATCCAGATCAACCTAGGACCAAGCATTACTACGTAACGTCCCGAGTTGCCACACCCCACATCAGTATATCAAGCAAGAAGGCAGTGAAGCGCGAGATGAGGATAACAGAATGCAGCCAGAAGAAATATAAAGTGGGAAAAGAGAGGAACGAAGAATGAGAAAGTGGTGAGATTTGGTATAGCGTCGGTAAGATGAGGATAATGTGTGTATACATCTGAGCCACTGACATCGGCTCTGAGCCATATCACCTAGAGTCTCCAATCACTGGTTCCTCTTGTCCTGTGGACCCCAACCACCTAGTCTACATCGCCCCACATGGCCCAAACCAACAGTCGGAGACTTTATACATTGGCCCCATGGTTTAGTCTGACCACCTCAGGCCGTTTTCCAGCCAGAACCTACTTCAGCCAACATTGTGTGACAAGGCGATCGGTGACTAGGCATACGTAGTACGTGTCCCAACCATCTCAGTCGTCAATTGATCTACCTCTTCTCCCAAAAACTTTACTCCTGACTTCTGCGTTACTCACTTGGTGACACCATGGAATACGGCCTATACTACAAAGGCAACGGTGGTCAAACACCTCCAGTCAGCCTTCTCATGTCTTCCACCTCCAATGGCCATGTTTCATAGCCATACAGTAGAAGAGAGCAGACTGCTGTGCAGTATACGCGACCCTTAGTAGACAATCGGATATCACGGCGGCACCACAGGTGGCGTAATTTGGTGAAAGCCAATCGAGCCTTTTGTATTCATGCAGAGATTTCACCGGCCACTGAGCCATCAGGGCTGATCCTACTTCCCAGGTAAGTGGAGTGGTTAACACAGTCAACTACTTAACTCGCTATTGTTAGCCGTGGCACCGTTGAAGACCAATCCTGGAGCAGCAATTTGCATTTGGGTGGTGAGAAACGCATCCCAAACATTCTCACATTGCCACTCAAAGTGTTCAGAAGACTCTGCATCTTGTCAGCGTCTTCACTTAACAGGACTATGTCATATGCATATTCTAGGTCTAACGGGAATTCTCCCCCTTCAACTCCAGCAAGTACTTGTCAGTTTTTCTTTCCCCGTTTTATTTAAACTATTAAAACTTGAGGCGATGTAATTGCATGCCGATTATTTTAGACAGAGAATCAGAGTGAACAGCAAAAAGGGAATGCATCACAGAAAGGTGGCTAGTGACTTCAGACGCAGAAGTGAAACTCACGAGTAGCAAGCCTGAAAAAAACACGCAGCTTTCAGTGCATCGGCCAGATCTTTAACCTCAGCAAGGTTTTGAAGTACAGGCAGTTTTACTGGCATCAGATAATAATTGTATTTTTTGACCTGAGTCATTTAACTCTCATGGGAGTGTTTGCTATCGAGATAACCCCAAAGTAACCATATCATTCTACTAAAGGCTCTTTATTCGACCACCCAACGGTGTGTTATTAGGTGAGTTGTCTACGTCTATCAAAGTTCACCAGAGATGTTCATTTTTTTCTATTCCTATTTAACTTAACCATAAACTTGCTAAGGAAAGTTGTTGTATGCTTGCACGACTTTAAAGGGATTGATTTGTCGAAGATTTTCAGGTGACCTAGATTACACATGAAATATCCATGTTACATAAAAACGCTAAATAGATGTGGTCATCAGACAACTGAAGAGACAATGTGAGAAACTCTGGGTTACTTTCCTACTACCCCAGAGCGAAATGTTACTTCAGGATTGGCATAAGTCAATACGGTGTCTGCCAGCAGGGAGTGAAGTGGTTGAGTGCGTTATTTTACCCACTTGGGTAGCCACATCAACCCTAACGGGTTAGGAACTAAAATATTCTCTGCGAAGATACAAAGGGTTCGATTGGCCTTCGCCAGTCTACCTCTGTGGTATCAATGAAATATCCCATTACCTATTAAGGTTTAAGTTTACTTCACGGTTCTTTCTTTCCTACAATGCAGCTGTTAAACGGCCATTAAAAGTGGAGGGTATGAGAAGGCTGCAGGGATTCGATAACGGTTGCCTTCGTAGCATTGCTCATGTGTCATGGAATTGCCTTGTGGGCAACGTAGAGGCAATGAGTAGAGTTTTCAGCAAAGGAGTTACGTCCGTTGATGAGGTTGTGAACCTTCATGGACTCTGGTAGCTGGGGGATGTGTTACACATGCCTATTAACTGTCTGTCCCGTCGCCCAATGTTACCTGAAGTAAAATTAGGCTGAATAAAAGTTCAAGGTGGCCAGACTAAAATGTAACAGTGGTCTAGCAAGTCTTTGGTCTGAACCGCTACGAGAATGTAGGCTTCCAGGTTGGGGACCACAAGGTGGTTGAAATTGATGGTTGAAGACCTTAGGTGGTGTGGCTTGAAACTGGTCAAACTGGCACAGATACATCAACACGTTATCTTCATCCTAACCATCATATGACATTTAGTTACCTAATTAACCTTCCATTTTCCTCTGATGACATTCCACAACTTTTGGTTAGTTTTTACAGATTTTTTGTTTTTTCTTATCTTGATGCGCTGATGTATAATGGCGTTAGAACACACCTATCTATTGAAAGTCAACCACTTCAACTAATGAGAAGTAGTTCTGGACGAATATGATAGGTTGCAATCGCTAAGAAATATTTCCAAAACACAAATATGGAAGACAGCGAGAGCATTATTATTCAGCATGTCACATTTACGTAAGAATGGTCTTTAAACGATTGTTTTAAGCCTAAATAGTAACTTGGAACCCAATAAATCAAATA